GGAATTATGTGCCCACCACTAACCTGCTACAATATCATTAAAAAGAGAAATGTAGAGGGTTGCCTGCCCGCCAAAATGGGATTGACATTGCTTTAAACACGATTGTGCCCGCCCCCTACCTGCAACAATGAAACAAATTTTATATAGCAATTCATTGAGAGAAAAATAACACAGCTTTTAATAATCACGTCCCTGACATGGAACAATGAACCCAAGTTTATATACCATATTTTCCCTATAAAAGAGAAGTGATTTTTTTTTTGCTCGCTCGCTACGCTCGCTCGCCAAAATAGAAATAACACCGCTTTTAATAATCACGTCCCTGACATGGAACAATGAACCCAAGTTTTATGTACCATATTTTCCCTATAAAAGAGAAGCGATTTTTTTTCGCTCGCTACGCTCGCTAGCTTGTGGAATTATGTGCCCACCACTAACCTGCTACAATATCATTAAAAAGAGAAATGTAGGGGGTTGCCTGCCCGCCAAAATGGAATTGACATTGCCTTAAACACGATTGTGCCCGCCCCCTACCTGCAACAATGAAACAAATTTTATATAGCAATTCATTGAGAGAAAGATGTATTTTCGCTCGCTAGCTAAAATGGGTATAAAATCACCCTAAACACAATATTGTTCCCGCGCCCTGCATGGGACAATTGAACCAAGTTTAAGTGGCAATTCTTAAAAAAGAAGTGATTTTTTTTCTTGCTCGCTACACTCGTTTGCAAAAAAATGAAATTAACGTCGCTAACAAGTGAATGTTCCCACCCCCTACTTGCAACAATACTAGTTTATATACCAAACGTTACTTAAAGATTTTTTTTTGCTCGCTCGCTCGCCAGAAGTGAAAATTAGCATCGCCTTTTTTTGTTTGTTTCGGTCGCTTGCCCCCCCCCCCCCCTGACGGAGTACCCCAGGTACGCCACTGCTTGACAACCCTGGTCATTAAGATTTTACATAATTCAATGTTCATATAAAATGCGGTCTGAAAATTATTCCGAAATCGGATCGTAGTCATTGTGTGCGGTGGGCTGCAATCATCGCGATATTAATGCGAGATGATCGATAGCCATTAAACCCACTTTCAATGGCGGTAATGCCACTTGAATGACGTAAATGCGTTTCAGTTCACGCAGTCAAAATATAATTTGTTCCACTAATGACAAACGTATAAAACCCCAGTTACACCAGCGAGATCGACTCCACACCGACTGAAAGGTTACATTACCCCGAATAGAACAGTTTAGAAGAATTTGGACGCGGATGGCTCTTTGACTGAATACATCAGTCAAACCACCACCAGGCCGACGCACAACCGACTCTTGATACCGACCGATTCTTGATTAACGTAGGCGGAGTGTCATGATACAGTGGTTTCTTCCCTCGACTCTCAGTCTAAGGGTTGAGGGTTCGAAATCCAGCCCGACATTCACGCCCTTGGCAAGACATTCATCCACAATTGCCACATTCTACCTAATTAAGTGTTACATGGTTACCCGGTAGAATGCGAAAGTCATCGTGAGTGTCTGTAACATGGTGACCGGCTGAAATGCTCCCCAGGGAGTGAAGAATGCGCATACATTGCGTGCAGGCAAGCCTGAATCCGATGACCGGGGTAATGATATAATTATCTCCAAGCGCTTAAACACATCGTCTGCGATTGTGATACTATCAAGCGCTATCAAAACCCAGAATATTATTTGATAAGCTTAATGTACTTTTTGTTCAGTAGCCTGGGGGTGTTTCACAAAGATCCTAAGTTTAACTTAAATCTCTAAGTTGGACTTAACAATCATGGAAAGCCATTAGCATCTTTGAAAATATTTTGTATAAGTTATTTTAAAAGGCATCAACATTAATGTTGATTCAAATCGTTCATATTTTCTATTTTCAAGGAGATTTCATGTTCTTGATGTGGACTTTATGAAAAGTCCAAAATACTTAAAGTTTTGTTTTTTTAATATATTTTATTTTAAGGTTACAAATGGCTCTCCAAAATTGTTAAGTCCAATTTAGAGTTAAGTTCGACTTAGAATCTTTGTGAAACGACCCCCTGGTGTCAGTCTAGTATCGGTCTAGCATCGGTCTCCTGGTGTGACCGGGGTATTCTATAAGCTGTGGTGGCGCAATTTTTCATTTTGACACAATGCTTCATGCTGGTCTCGATTTATGTTGATTGATACGATGTCAAAGTATATAGACCATGTAAATTAATTATGAATATTTTCAGCCAAAACGCCGCAATTTAATAACCTTCTTTCACCTGTTCAACCTTTTGTAATTGTTTTATAGGTTTGAAATATCAGTTGTAACGGACTAGCGCAAACGACTAATAATGATTTATAGTCTTCAAACAGATTCAACTGCAATCGCAATTAATTGTGCATATTTTCTATGCAGAGTATCATCTCTGACACTTCATAAAATTTAACAAAATGGCAATTCTCAGTTTTATTGAGACCAACCTTATATGGATACTTGCTCTCAGCGGGTAATATACATTTTCATTATTCCTTATAACACCAAAGTTCACCTTTTAAGCGTTGATATATACTCTGTATAGTATGTGTTTTTTTACCTGTGAAAACACATAAAACAAAAACGATTTATGTGTAAGGTATACGTAGGACACAGTGTAAACATAGCTTGTTATATATATACCGCTTTGCAGTGTGGAAGCAATATGAAAATATTATTTGTTTACATAATACAACAGGGCTCCAAATTATTTGATTGCTCATAATGTATACGTAATACCGTGGTTGTCTGCTTAACCAAAGAGTGTCACGCTGCGTGACATTATACTGCGTGCCTGAACAATTAGCATCGAAAGCAATTAGTATGTAGGTAAATTCCAATGTTTTTATGACATGGTTCCAAGTTGCTATTGTGTCACACGGATAAACTTCAATATGATAATGGTTTCCCTGCTGGAAAGAACACACTCATTCACATTCATTCACAGAGTGAATCACACTGTTAATCACAGTGTGCTCCACAATGTTAAATTGGGGCGTTTTCACATTGTGGTCGATTCGTTTCAAACTGTGGTTCACAGTGTGGATAACCGGAAAAGGAAAGAACACACCCATTCACACTCATTCACAGTGCGAATCACACTGTGTTTCACACAGTGTTCACAGTGTGAACTATGATTTCTCACTGTGATTCACACTGTGAATGAGTGTGAATGAGTGTGTTCTTTCCGGCAGGGTTCTCTATTAGGCAAAAGTATACCACAGTGTAACACAGTAACACAGTGTGTCCAGCAGTGTTTTACATCGTGTTTCACGGTGTTTCATACCGCTTCCCACATTTGCATAGTTTGTGTTATTCACCACTATAACATTGTTGAGTATACAATAGCAATGAGAGAATTTGAAGACCTCGTCTTATAGTCATGACGGAATTAAGCTACGAGTATGTGTGGACATTCTATACTTATTCTGTTTTCACCATGTGAAACACTGCTAAACAGAGCATCATAGTTTACACTCATCTATACCCTATCAACGTGTAAACTCTATGTTTACTCTGTTTACATTATCTCCACACTGTGAAAAGCGGTGTTATATGTGGCTACAATGTGTGAAAGAATCATGCTATATAAACAATCATGATGTATCACCCTCATCTAATTTGATCATACAAAATTATGATTAATGAATCATATTATAGTGTAAACTAATTCATATGAACATATTTCTATGTTCAGTGTTTCCACACTGTGTAAAGTGACGCGACACACTTTTGATACAGACTGATTCACAGTATAGCCTATACGCATACAACCGTATGACCACAAAGAGCATTTGAAATACTTGCAAGTATTTATAATGCGAATTCCTTTGGTCGTCTGTTTTAATTTGGGCTGTATTTTTGTCCTTAACAAAAAGAAGTGTTCCATGATCTTTTCTGGGCCAATTAATACACAAGCCACACCTACGAGCCTCACTACAGACCAAACAAAACACATACATTACACCAAATGGCTGTGAATCGGTTGGTCTCGAGTTCTTTTGGTGGTGTGCCAAGCTAATTCTTTTGGTGACTCAGTGATAACTTATTCTAAAAACAATCTATTTGTCGGGTTAATAAACACACTATAAAATTCTTAGTAGTGCACTAAGTGAAGAACGTGACTTGATTTGCAATTAACTTCAAATTTATTACCGCCAACCAGAATAAGGGCGTCTCCGCATCTGACAATTGTTTTGCTCTAATAATAATAATTATAGAGTATTTGTAATACGCCAACTCCACATGACTAATGTGTTCGAGGCGCATGAATATGAAAAAATACACAAAAATACACACAACAATACACACACAAATGAACAACGACAATGTGAAAGTAAAGCTTAATCCACTGGAAAGCCGCTTTGAACAAATAAGTTTTGAGGGCATATTTAAAGCAATCTACACTTGAAATACTAGTAACGAATATGTTATTGCAATTGGTATAGGTGAGGTCCAGCGCGTGCAAATGACCGATCCCCCCCCCCCCCCCCATGATTTCTTATTTTTCGGAACAACAAGCAATTGAGAATCGGATGATCTTAAGCGTCTGGGAGGATTATAAGACATCAACAAATTAATATTGTACTCTGGGGCAGATCCATGTATATATACAGCGAAAAACAAGCAATAATAATTTAAATACAATACGTTCGAAAGAAGAAATCAAGAGTCGTGAGCCCAGTCTTATTGATATTTTGAGAATGATTAAAGAAATACGATCATAAGGATTTGCGAAAAAACAACACAAGGTTGTTTCAATAGTCTCGTCCATGACATTTAACTGTGAGAACATTACAATGATGATTAACGTGATCTGAATATGATTTCTATTGGATATATAAACAATAGGGTACTGAAATTCTTTGCGATAGTCTATTCTAAAACATGTAAAATTACAAAATGATGCAGCAGTAGTAGTAATACGGAATAATAATACGAAATATAATTTAACCTTCAAAAGCAAAAATCTGGGTGACGTTAAAAATATAAACACGCCATAATGACGTTCCTATCTGGTGTTTTACCAGGGAGAGTGTAATGGATGGAGATACCGTCTCGAAAGAATTTACCGAGGGAAATATATTCAGGATTAACAAGAAATGAAACCCTCTCCAGTCATCAATTACGGTAGGGGAAACAAAAGACGCGCGGTGCTACGAATGACTTTTAAGTTGCCTCTTGGACGGTATCTCCATTAATTACACTCTCACTGGTTTTACTAAGCGTATCATTTCCTTTGGCCTCTTCCGTGGGTACAATCTTCCTCGGGCAACTAACGATCTGAAGTGTGCGCACAAAGAGCCTCTTGAAGAACTTCTTGAAGACGGGGTGTCTGAAGGCGTAGAAGACAGGATTGATGCAGTTGTTGAAGAAGAGGATGGCGGTGGTGTATATCCCCGCTAGTCGTACCCCAGGTATCGCAAAGGTCACAGCCGTCGGGACGGTACAGCAGATGAAAGCGATGACAACGCTGAAGAGGTTCTTGGTGACACTGACCTCTCGTTGACTGAGTCGCTCGATGTGCTGCTGTTGTTCAACTTGGCTTCGACTGCTCCCGAAGTAAAGGAGGAGCTTTCGTTGCTGTCGGACATGCACCAAAATCCTGATGTAACAGCCGAGCATGATGAGGATATGACTCCCGATTAGTACAGCCAGGAAGTAATGATAAAAGTCACTCGTTTCTGTAAGACTCGTGAAGCATTGTTTATAGGGAGGATAATAAGCGTATTCGGTTAATTTAAAAACGTAAATTGGGATGTAGTTGTATAAACACGCTAGAATCCAAGAGAGAATAGCTAAGAAGAGCTGCTGTTTCTTGTGCGTGTTAAGACTGACTGGTGTGTGTATGTTTTTGGTGATGACGTGACATCGGTTTATGGCTATCAGAACCAGAGTGACAGCGCTACAGGTAAATGTCACATAGTGCACAGCACCTACGAAGCTGCATGCACGCATAAATGTATCTCCATCTTTAAGGATACCATACATCTGGAACGGAAGAACCATGCAGGTCAGGAGGTCAGCGATGGCCAGGTTGACTACCAACACATTGGTCGGGGTTTGCAGTTTGGGAGTGACGATCACGCCGACGACGACGAGACTGTTTCCAAGGATACCGAATATAGATGTGAAGAGGTAGATGGCTGCGATGACGATCGAGTGAGGGTAGAGATCATAGACATCGGTCTCACTATCGGTACAGTTGGTACAATTCTCAAATCTCGAGGACATTTCTGTATGAAGCTCCATTATTTATGAGATGCTGGTCGATGTCACTATCCAAGCGTTATATCACACATCTTAAAGATTCAGAGACTGCAATGAAAAACGGGAAGACATTATGAAAGCATTATCTACGGAAATTATTGGTTAAATAAAATAAATTTTCCCATTGTTTCGGACTTTTTATCTTTCATGAAAATCCCATCTGGACCGCCAAGGACAATGTTTGAGAACCCTTGAGATATATATAGACGATCCTACACAAAAAATATCTTCCTTTACCGCGGCGCCAGCCATCCATCAACAAACTACCCGCATACGATCTTTCCTCCGAATTGGCTCGACAAATTGCGAAGTGTGCGAATTTGAGAATATATCCGGCTTCACAAACGGGTAGACACAGGTGGGGTTTCATTCTATTATTAGAATACTATAATGTGTCCTATTGATTTGTTCTAAACATAGTATTCTATGTTTGTTATAGCCATACTTTATATTGTTCATTTCAAGCTTCATAATAAAAAGACAGCTTTAATTTGTAGGTCAAGGAAAGCAATTTGTTTTTAATATTTCTTTTCATTTCATTTAGTTATTCAGTACTTAATACATAATAAAAAAATCAATACACATTGAAAGATATACGAAGAGATATAAACGTGTTTGGACAAAATAGGCAAAGGCTCCAATGAATGAATGAAGGAATGAGAGTACAAATTACCCATTTATTTCTATTTATTCAAATTAATTGTTATAATGACAGTGTTATTTTTGTGCGTGTGGATATTTTTAGTACATGCGCGACCATAAGAACATGAAGGACAGTCACTTCGTGAAAAGTGACGCTGTGTTCATTGACAAACCCCCACCCCCCCCCCCCCCCCCCCCAAAAAAAAAAAAAAAAAAAAAAAAACACTTTTTAAGAATGCAGTATGCAGCATATGAAACTACAAAAAAAAAAAAATCAATTTTCATGGAAACATAGTTCTGGGCTAAACATAACTGCTTTTGTAAGAGCGAATTTCTCGGAAGTTTAGTTTTACGCGTGATGCTCTGGGCGGTCACTTTGTGATGAGGGCGACGAATTTAGCCAACATTTCAATAAAATTCGTTCATATTGGGCAACCAACAAGAACTTGATTCTCATTTATCAATTCTCTGAAAAGTTATGGCAAAACTTGTGACCTGTGAAATTATATCTGAGTATCTATTATGTTTGATGCGGATATATATGCATTTAATATGCATGGAATCGAACAGAATATCCCTCGAATACAAGGTACCTGCAAGGGAAATTACCTCCAAATATATGTATACCTCTAACTTTTATGGAATTACCTTTAGTTGGCCAATACCCCTTTGTTCAAGAATACTACGCACAGTTAATTTCTTTGAAAAGTTGAAAATGCAAGCTAGGTTTCACAAAATGCATCAACGAACGCTTTAGGGTTTTCTCTTGAATCATTGTGTATTTTTATGAAAGAGATAATATAAGAACACAATCTCGTTTTTTGCAATCCTGCATATAGGTTTTACTTTTACATGTCGTTTTAAGATGTCCTATATATTCGTTAAAGGCTAAATAAACTTTCAGTGAGGTCATTTGAAATTCAGCCGTTTTTCTGAAATATGACCGCAAACAGCACGAACCATGTTTTCTCATGTCCGATATGGAAGGAATACTATATCATTCCAGTCAGACATAGCTAGGTGATATAATTATGTGACTTGATATCACTATCGGTTGGTATTTAGATAACAGTAAATTATGTGGGTCGAAAAATATAAATATCCCGATTAAAACATAGTGCATGTACAGAGTTTACAGTGTACAGTGTTTTACTCACTGATGGGGTTACCCTGGGTAAATAAAACAAATAAAATAAATAAATAAATAAATAGTTACTGTGTGGGCACTTCCAAAGGGGTATTGGCCAACTAAAGGTAATTCCATAAAAGTTAGAGGTATACATATATTTGGGGGTAATTTCCCTTGCAGGTACCTTGTATTAAATGCATATCCGCATCAAACATAATAGATACTCGGATATAATTTCACAAGTCACAAGTTTTGCCAGAACTTTTCAGTTATTTGGTTTCTTGGTGTCCTATATACGTTATAAGGATCATAGAAGATGACAAGTGAACATCAAACATATTACATGTACCTTAATGCCCTGATGCTAAAGCTTATCTGTACTAGTTTATCGGAGGGATTAGACCACACTGCAAGGTCACTGGACAGGTGATTATCTCATCAACTCAGCTCTCAATTAACATAAGAAAAAAAGGATCATGGGGACCAATGATTAGGCATTGTTTTCTATATAGAGGGTGCAATTAGCTACAAGTAGTGCAGTGGGCCTTAAAGTTCATCCGACCTATGCTCATATATATCGTAAGACAATTATCAGAATGGGTAAATCCAAATTATTTTGTCTAGTAGGTTACCGTCCATATTAAGTATAAATATATATATAATTTATTTGTCTTGTCTTGTGTTTTCACCTCAATTATACATGTATAATATCATATATTCGGCATGTGCCCGGAATAGAATCTTATTAATAAACCACTTCAATGCCATTCAATCCAATTGTCTTATACCTGGTTCTATGAAGTAGATAGCCTTACAATAGTTCGGATCAGATACATACAAGCTATGCTCTTTAATAAGGCTCCCCACATCTTACATTGTATTACCTTGTACCAAAAAAAAAAAGAGAATTTAAATTGTTTTTTTTGATATAAGTATGGAACAAATAAACTTCAAACTTCAAAATTCAAATTTGAAGGGAAATTATACTCTGAATATGTCGATTACAATCAATATCCCACGATACTCGGTAACGTAGGGGACACAAAATGATCAAATACCATGATAAATTATGTCCAAATACCTAAAACGTTTACAAGTTGTCCGGTAACGTATGGAATCCTTTTCCAGAATTTCTTAACCAATAATACATACCAGATGTGAGCAATATACAACATCAAATTATTTTTTAAAAAAGCAGCCTCGTGTTGAAATGAAACTAAACACTGTACAATTCAGCCAGCATTTCCGCACAAAAAGTCTTTCATATTGGGCAACCAACAAGAACGTAAATCTCATTATCAATTCTCTTTAAAGTTCATGCAAAACTTGTGACCTGTGAAATTATATCTAGGTATCTATTATGTTCAATGCGGATGTGCATTATGCCTGGAATTGAACAGAATATCCCCCAAATACATGCACCTCTAACCACCAACTTTTAGGAAATTACCTTTAAATGGCCAATACTCCTTCGTTCAAGGAGTATTATTACCCTTACCAAATTTTATAACTTTTCTGATAATGTGACACATCAAAGCTTACATCTAAAAGTATTCATCAAAGGCCCAAATTTAGCCAGTCCACCTTTCACTTTTGAGTTACGAAAAACTAAAAAAACATCAAATTTACAGGGGTATGAATAATTTAGTTGATAAATACAATTCCAATTAATATAACAATGATCGTGTACAATTACATACTGTAATGGGTATTCAGGGGGGGGGGACATGTAGATAGATGTACAGTGTGCAAACTTTAGCGAAATCAAATCATAAAATGCAATACGAGGGTATAAAACTGTGCGAATACACGAGCTAAATCTATAGATAAACAAAAAGAGATTAAGAGAGAGGAAGAAAAGAAAAAGCGAAAAAAAAAAAAAAAAAAAAAAAAAAGAAGAAGAGAGGAAGTGAAAGGGGACAGTAGAAGAATAGAATATATTAGAAAATGATTTCGTAGAAATAACGCAAGAGAGAGAGAGAGAGAGAGAGGGGGAGAAAAAACAACATTTTAAAAAAAATGTACAGCTTTGAAGGAAAAAAATGAATAAACCCGTTGACTATTGAACTCTTACATCGCATATAGGTTTAATACAGAAAACCCCGGTTCTAGTAGGCTGTTTGTGCAAAGAAAGCACTTCAACTGTAGGAAATTGAAAGGGCCTATACTTTCGTGCCAAAGTTTTCGAGCCCTTTTTTTATTTTATTTTCTTTTGTTGTGGTCGCTGCTGTTTTTGATTACCTATGACATAGTAGGAACAGTAGTTGTATGAGACTGAATGAGGGTAACAAGGTTACGGATTTAATGGGGTAGATGCCATAGCAGGAGTAAATGCACAGTCCTACTGCCATTCTAGATTAGCCGGGCTTGGTGATAATTAGTGTGAAAAGGTGCGCGTGCAGGGAGTTCGCTCAAAATTCCTTATCCTAAGAAGAACGGTCTATGGTAATGTGGGTAAAGTCAACCTTCTCATCCTTCTCACAACACTAATAACAATTAGTCACATTTTTTTCATGATACCTACTAAGGATAAGGGCCTCTGCGATATACATGGATTGTATGTAACTCTATTCCGATATATAGTGGCATTTGCTTGTATCAACAAAATTTAGCGTTATACGAGTCACAAATGATATATACTCACTGTTTGCCTAGATCCTGCTAAATGCGAAATGAGTCGTCGAATAAGGCGTCGAGTCCTCTCCTTAGAAACATTTATCCAATTATAGCCGAGCTAAAAGGATTCACACTAATCTTACTAGTCTCTTCAAGAACGTGTTATAAGGCGTTTACAACGCCTCTTTCGCGAGATAAGAGGAAAATTTGTTTCTGGCACATGGATCCGGTTTAACAGATGCCAAAACATGCAGTGTGTCGAATATAACGATTTAAAAATCAATTCAGTGCAGATTTCCTTTGCACAAAATTTAATGTGCTCCGTTTTGTCATATTTTCAATTAGAAATGACGGATAAATCCGTATGAAATGAAAGACAACGGCTGCGGGAGTCTGTATTTGACCGTCTGGTGTCATGGCATTGAGCAGGTATACCTGATGCAAGTCAATCTTGGATCTTGTGGTCCAAAAACGAAACCAGAGGAAAACACAATACTAGATCTAGCTCACCAACCGAACAAAAGAATACATATCTCTCGCTCAGTGATGTATAGATCCTGCTGTGAATTGTGATGCATTATAATACCATATTGTGATAAAACCGGCCTGGGGATTCCGCTCAACAAGTAGAAACCTTAGTCTGTTCCCAAAC